GGAGCTCAAGCCTTAAAATCATAACACACGTGCACCTGATGGCTCGATTAGTTATCAGGCCTCAATTGAATGTCTGTCGTGCACCCCTGAGAGCTTTCTGGGAAGGATCTGGTCCGGATATGATAGACATTACTGAGACCTTTCTGGAAGGATCTGGTCACGATATGATAATACATAACTGACGCACGTACGTGTGTACGCATCATGATCTACTATCGAATCTGTACCTGAACTAGCAAGATATAATTATGTACATAACTTGCACTATAGATGCATATACTAGAGTGTACTGATTAATCAATTTGGTACAAATGAACTTAGCATGTGATATGTATGAACTTTAACTTCTACTTCCCACTATATACAGGAACTGAGAAATTGGACAGCGCCCTCCCAAAACTTGATCTGCAGACACTACTTCGTACACAATCCCCTCCCGCAGTCTTCTGACGTATATATACCCGCTGAACTCTGTCGGTACTTTGAAGAGTGGAGACACGACTTGTGTAACCAGCCAATATGTAGCTACATATGGATTGGCTAGAGATCCAGCTAAATTCATCTATATTTCTCGTAAAATTATGTCATCAAGGAAACTTTGAGGGCTATTTCGTAGTAAACGAGTAGAATTTCACAGATTATATTCAAATGCTCCCAACCTCAAAATTGTGTAAGAAATCTTTCTCGAAAGGTTCTCAATACTTGCACTCACACCATAGCTCTCACACGTTACCTGTTGAGAATCCTGCTCATCAAAAGGTAAGAGCGTAGAACACGTGGACATGATCTCTCGGTCTTTTGTACTCAGTGTAGACTGAATGCTCTCCGTCTGATCACCTGCCACATCCAACCCTCCACGATACCTAGAACGCAACGTAAATAAGTTAGTGTTTATGTTGGAAAAAGCAGAGAAAGTAAAGATGAAGATCTGATACGCAGCAGAAAAGCAAACGGTACACATTTTTTTGTGCAAATTAATTCATCATATCAGATTTCGGTGCAAAGTACTGCAGTAAAGGTGTGTGAAACCTTGCACAAGTGTGTGTGAAAAGGTGTAGCTGGTAGTAATGTCAAATGACCAGGGAAGTGGTTAACTAAACCGCCACTGCACAGGATGTTCGTGCAGACACTTCTCACCACAATCAGGAAATCAGCTGGTGGAATGATTTCAGATCAATCTCAGTAGGAAGAGTAACTTCTTTGTGTGCACCATTTATCATCCACCATTCATACAGAGGTACATAGTGCGGCCTTTGGCATAATTAGGATGCACCCATGCATACAGAGGCAGTACCTTCATTAGCATGAACCCATGCATACAAAGGTAGTGTGATAACTCGCCCGACTTTCCCTAGACACGGAACCGGGTTCAGTGATTTTAATGGCTGGAAATGTCCGTTATGGCTAATGACTGAAAACATGTGCATGTGCAGGTGTGCCATAACATAGTGTACACACCACTCACAATGTGTGGGTTTAATGTTGGTGGGTAGCTCACAAGCCAAACCGGGATGATACCAGTCCCTTAGCAGTAGGAAGTCCACCACCACACAATTTCCTACTGTACTTTTTGATTGCAGTAGCCTTGGGAAAGCTTTCAGAATGCCATGCACACTCACCAGGTTCATTATGCATGGCTTTATAGGTATATACTTCCATGGCTAGAGGCAGCAAGCACGAATAGGCAAAAGCCCTGCTGGGTGAGCCGCCTTGGAAGCTGACTAGGAAGAGGACACAGGGTGTTGTGGTGGGTTCGTATCCACCCAGAACAACTCATTTTATTGTTGTCCTGGGTGTAGTTGATTTGTTTGCATTGTGGCGGCATTGTTGTTAATGTGTACATTTGGCAGAACTGACCATAGACTATTTTGTGACTATAGATATAATTTTCATCCACACGTACATTGGCATCACATGGTATTTTCTACATGAGCCATTCATTTGCTCCATGCACATACCTTTTCACTACAGGTTACTGTAACCAACTCTTCATACATGCATACCCTTGTTTCAAGGCTTTGTAAGGATGGCATATCATGTAATGCATGAACATTAGTTGTTGCAAGAGAGCACTCCGCACTCAACAGGCTTATATGGACAGCATATGAATTGCGATGGCCTCACCCATTGAAGCCCTTCAGTTGAATCCTGTCCCCCAGTATCTCCATAAACTCGTCAAATGCTGGCGAGGAGTGCCGATTACGAAACAGTTCCTCTTCGGACGTCTGCAGGCAAAGGAAATTGACTCATCATGCATCCCATGTAGTTTCAGTCTACTTATTATAATTATAAGGAAGGGCGGAAAGAGGAACAGCACGTATATCTGCTTATATGTACATACGTATGTACAATGAAGGATACAGACAATTAATCGCAGCCATACAGTTGTTGCTATTGAATGTGCATCAAGTATGGTACAACCTAGCCGTCCATTCAAATCGTGGGAAAGGGGAAAAGGGGGGCCGTGGTGCTGTACACCCAAGATTACATCAGTGTCTCAGATCGTGGGCAGCATGCACTGTGATTGGTCATATCCCGGGGGCAGCTTGCTCATTAATGATTCATGGCCACCTCCCCTTCGAATATCTAGGAGGATGTGACTGCCAGCACTGTGATGGTGAACTCACATCCTGGGGGGCAGCTTGCTCTCATAGAGCAACCTGTTAACATCTAGGAGGATGTGACTTAAAGGTGAAGACTACAACTGTAGACAGAGTGCTGCATCCCTACAGTCTAATTTGGCTGTAGCATAACCACAACTTTTGTCCACGAGTTTCAGTATAGGCAGTGAGGGTTTCCTGAATGGTTACTGAAGCTCTTATGGAACTGGTCGCAATTGTGGTGAGAAATAGTACATATCTTGGGAAAACGATGTGCAGTCACGTACACACCCTGGAAGACGATAATAAACTTTTGCTTTTCTATTATGTGCAGTTGGTAGAAATTGATTTCGGCTGACAGCAGGAAAAGGATGGAGCAGCTTCATACACACAGGCATGGTGCACGTAAAAACCCTAACAATTTTGGATCACTTTCCTATAATAGGTTGGTGGAAATTGTATTTCAGCCGACAGTATGAACACCATGGAGTATTCATACACAGGGGCATGGTGTACAGAACAGTTGTAGACACTCTGGAAGATGATAATGGTTCAGTGTCTATTTTTGTTGAAGCTCTATACATAGAGTTAGAGTGGAAATTGTGGTGTTGGAACTTGTGGTGTTGGAACTATCTGGACAAGGCACCTTTACCTGACTGAGGAAGTACATAGGATGCTGTACATACTATACTACCACTGTTCCGATGGATGTGGGGTTTAAGTATGTGCATATTTGGGAGGGAACCTTCAGGAAGTTGGACAGGATCATGGAAACTTATCTTCCTACTTCCTTATTAGCCGAATTTTGGCATTTTCAAGGCAGTTCTATGACGGCAGTTACTTTGCTATACAAAGAGGCAGCCACAACATTGACCATGCACCCAGAACACTGGGCTGAACCAGAGAGCTGGTGCACGTCTTATTATCCACATCACCAGACTTACCAACCCTCTCAAAGACAACCGGTTACGTATGTGTTCAGCAGAACATGTTAAACTATGCACATTGAAATTTGGCTTAATTAGTCAGAGCCGTAGAGAAAGTATTTGTTGATACATCGCATTACATTTCGCTGAAAATTGTTTCGACCCATTAAAATACTATCAAGTGTGTACCTGATTCTTTCTCTGATATATGACCCCAAACTTGTGGGTGTAGGCCACCTTGTGCTCATCGAACTTTCTGATCATCTCATGTACCTACATATGTACGTATACAGATCAGTAGTAAGTAAAGGAGTGTAATGTTGGAAGTTCCAGTTGATGGTAAGACATAGGACGGAGGGGAGAGAGGGAAAGGAAAGAGGAAAGTGAGGAAGGAAAAGAGATCGTGATGGAAGCGAGATAGAGAAAATAACCTTGGGATAAAGGATTCTGATGGCTTGCTCCACCTTTATCTCTTCTATTCCTCCCAACTTTGAAGTAAACTGCGACAGATACATTCATGCATGGTAAGGGAAATGGCGAGGGGATTCATGTTTGTACACATGTAGGTGATAACCTACCCTGATGATGTCCTCAATCTCTTTCATGTGGTAAAGCTGTGATTCCGGGACTACCCGGTACACTGTGCCACTCTGAGTCCTGCAATAGCACAGTCATGTATATATAATTTCACTTACGCCACTGCACATGTGGGATGGGGGATGCTTTGGTGTGTATGTGTAAGTTTGCAAACAGTGTTAAAGGGTCTATGGGGAATGCTCCTTGTTATGTAGACTGGGTACCTGTGCAGGAGCTCAGGCCATGTACGACATACATAACTTGTGAGGCACAACATCCTACTATATATTATGTAAGAAGCACAGTTGATATCACTGAGCATCTAGTCATCACCACAGTAATGTCTTTGATGGTGTTATAGGAGGCTGAGTGGGTACTGGCTGTGCTCACTTCCACATACATAATTATGTATCTGCCAACAGCTCTGGGACACTTTGACATTATTTAACGCTATTACTGACCATTAATAATATATATGTGATATTTGGCTGTAGGAGTGGAGCCAGAGCTAAATCAGTGTCAACTGACCTGAGAATGAGTCTCATATTGGTCCCACGGTAGTCCTCATCCTTGACAATAGAGAAGAGAACTGGTCCAACCTTTGGATCCCTGCCCATGTAATTCTTGTGGGCCTGTCGTAGGAATCAATGTCCATAATTAGCATACCGATTAATGCAGGGATTTGTAGCATGTTGATTATCATAGGGTAGCATGCACAGACCCAGAGCAATGGTGGATGCAGCTATACTCAAGGTCTACGCTGCCATCTAATTAGTTTTCTACACTGCAATCTCAAACTGGACATGTAGTGACAGTATGCAGGATGGTTAGTTGTTCTGTCCTTTTTCCTACTTGCAGTCTAATAGTTTAGCTATTTTTACAGTCTCTCCGAAGATTATTTGAAATGCACTCTCCAAAGCATTTTGGATTGTAAAATGCCTTTCCTTCACCTCATTGCTAAAAGTACGAAACGTTCAGACCACACATTTTCAACACTCACTCCGAATGACTGAACTTCCACTTTCCACTTACCCGTCCCAGAAAGTGCTTGCCATATGCAAACGCAGCAGTGTCAGAATCCAGCACATAGTGATCAGTACTGATCTCGGGGGCACTCCAAACCCCATCTTCATTGCAGGCATTATCAATATCTTCGTCTGTGTGTACCACCCAGCCTTTGTCTGGTGGCTCAATGATCATTGGGTAAGGTCCAGCCTCGGCTATAACCTAGAAAAAAATACGAAACTTCAAAATGAAGTCCAAGACTCTTTTCTTGCTCTGTTTTAGTATTGGGCAGTTCAATTTCTAAGAGTCAGCAGGCTCCACTGGTACCTATGGTCTGTTTTGAAAGCACTTGTGTCAAGCTTTTACTCACTTGCTTGTGGTGATGTACGTAACTACATCCCAGATACAAGTATACATGAAACACTGAAATTCCTACAATAGCAAGGGCTGTAGCCTATCAGTTTTTAGCTAGCAGGGGCTCTAGGCCACCAGTATTCTAGCTAGCTAGAGAAAAGAGACCAACTTTGTTGAGGGCTTCCATGGCTCTCCGACCAGGAGTGACTGCTGAGCGTGCTCCCATGGCAGGTGGTATGAGAGAGTTGTCCCTGTCCTCGTCTGCGATGCTAGTTGGGGGAGTGTCACTGGGAGACACCTCAATGGCTGGGATGTCTGGAGTGCTAGTGTCACTGCAAGTATCTCCATTGTGGATGACTCCATTAGCTGGCCCATGATCTATCTGTGGAGATGAATCCAGAAATAAGATATACAGCAGTAGCATCGATGGCAGAAACAGAGGGAAGCCATGAAAGGAGAAGAAAAGCAAAAAATAAAGCAGGAGAGAGAAGCTCAGTGCAAAAAGGTTTCTGGTACCAGGCCTGTTTTTGACTCATGACAGAAGCTGATCAACGTGGAACAGAAAGTGGGTAGCTAAAAATGTCATTGAAGTGTTTCGCAGGCACTCCTGCAGGAGTGTGGTTTCCGAATAGAATTTGAACTACAGACCAAGCTTAGCTGATAAGAAAAAGCAAAAGAGAATCGATAGAGAACAAAGGAAAGGGTTTAGAGGAGAAGAAACTAGTTTGAGAGAGGTGTGGGAAATATCCTCGGTGTTTGCCCTCTTTCGAAATCCGTGAGTCTCTCTAGCTCTCTTGTCTACCTGAACTTGCATGCATAACAAATTTCCTCCACAGACATTTGGAGGACTTGCTGATGTCACTATCTTACAAGTCTGATTGTGAGGGGGAAATTAAGCCGGAGAGGGAGCCTCCACTCCCTACTTAGCTGTGCTACCTCCACAGAGTTTGCTGGATGCCACTACGGTACAAGTAGTGTACTACTGAGGTAATATATCACCTGAGAGAGAGAGAGAGAGAGAGAGAGAGAGGGAGGGAGGGAGGGAGGGAGGGAGAGAATCTAAGAGAGAGTTTAGAGGTCATAATCTTTTGGAGTAGTCTTATCCCCAGATATTTTCCACATGTACATGTCATGATCTGGCGTAGGGCCTAATTAGCTGTGTGCGGAAAGGATCAGGGGACTAGAGTATATGGATGCCGCTACCACTACCTCTCATCATAAAGTCCTTTGAGGGTTTGTAGGAATGTCAAGCAACACCCTCACAAGTACTACTGAGGTATTATTCGTAGGAATGTCTGCTGCAACACCCTCAGAAGTATTTGGTTTATACTACTGAGGTGTTATACCGAGATAAAGATGAGAATGAGAAAGAGGGAGATAGAGAGAAGGAGAAGAAAGCAGTTTATAGGTCATAAAGTCCTCTGAGTATAATGTTTGTAGGAATGTCAGCTGCAATAGCTTCACAAGTTACTACTGAGGTATAATACAATGGTGAGAATGAGGAGAGAAAGAGGGAGAAAGAGAAATGAAGAGAGAAGAAAGCAGTTTAGAGGTCATAAAGTGCTCCGAGTATTAGTAGGAATGTCTGCTGCAACACCCTCACAAGTAATTGACTGAAGTATTATACTAAAAGAGAATGAGGAGCGAAAGAGGGAAGAAAGGGAGAAGAAAAGAGTTCAGAGGTCAGAGGAATGTCAGATGAACACTCTCACAGGTATTTGTTTTTTGAAGGGGAGAAAAAGAAACAAAGAGAGAAGAGAGCAGTTCATAGGTCATAAAGTCCACTGAGTATTTGTAGGAATGTCTGCTGCAACACCCTCACAAGTATTTGGTTTATACTACTGAGGTGTTATACCGAAATCAAAATGATGAGAATGAGAAAGAGGGAGAAAGAGAAATGAAGAGAGAAAGCAGTTTAAGGTCATAAAGTCCCCGAGTTTAGTAGAATGTTGCGCACACAGTAATTGATGAGGTATTATACTAAAAGAGAACGAGGAGCGAAAGAGGGAAGAAAGGGAGAAGAAAAGAGTTCAGAGGTCAGAGGAATGTCAGATGAACACTCTCACAGGTATTTGTTTGTTGAAGGGGAGAAAAAGAAACAAGGAGAGAAGAGAGCAGTTCAGAGGTCATAAGTCTTCCGAATATTTGTAGGAATTTCTGCTGCAACAGCGTCACAAGTAATTAAGGTATTATACTAAAAGAGAATGAGGAGCGAAAGAGGGAAGAGAGGGAGAAGAAAAGAGTTAAGAGGTTATAGGAATGTCAGGTAAACACTCTCACAGGTATTTGTTTGTTGAGGGGAGAAAAAGAAACAAAGAGAAAGAGAGCAGTTCAGAGGTCATAAAGTCACTGAGGAATGTCAGCTGCAATACCATTTGGTTTGTGCTACTGAGGTAATATTACTAAGATATAATGATAAGAATGAGGAGACAAAGAGGAAGAAAAAGAAACAAGGAGAGAAGAGAGCAGTTCAGGGGTCATAAAGTCCTCCAAATATTTGTAGGAATGTCTCCTGCAACACCCTCAGAAGTATTTGGTTTATACTACTGAGGTGTTGTACTGAGATAAAATAATGGTGAGAATGAGAAAGATGGAGAAAGAGAAACGAAGAGAGAAGGAGAAGAAAGCAGTTTAGAGCTCATAAAGGAATATCAGCTGCTATATCTTCACAAGTTACTACTGAGGTATAATACAATGATGAGAATGAGGAGACGAAGAAGAAGAAAAAGAAACAAGGAGAGAAGAGAGCAGTTCAGAGGTCATAAAGTCCTCCAAATATTTGTAGGAATGTCTCCTGCAACACCCTCAGAAGTATTTGGTTTATACTACTGAGGTGTTGTACTGAGATAAATGGTGAGAATGAGAAAGATGGAGAAAGAGAAACGAAGAGAGAAGGAGAAGAAAGCAGTTTAGAGCTCATAAAGGAATATCAGCTGCTATATCTTCACAAGTTACTACTGAGGTATAATACAATGATGAGAATGAGGAGACGAAGAAGAAGAAAAAGAAACAAGGAGAGAAGAAAGCAGTTTATAGGTCATAAAGTCCTCTGAGTATTTGTAGGAATATCAGCTGCTATATCTTCACAAGTTACTACTGAGGTATAATACAATGATGAGAATGAGGAGACGAAGAAGAAGAAAAAGAAACAAGGAGAGAAGAGAGCAGTTCAGAGGTCATAAAGTCCTCCGAGTATTTGTAGGAATGTCTGCTGCAACACCCTCACAAGTAATTGACTGAGGTATTATACTAAAAGAGAATGAGGAGCGAAAGAGGGAAGAGAGGGAGAAGAAAAGAGTCTAGAGGTCAGAGGAATGTCAGATGAACACTCTCACAGGTATTTGTTTTTTGAGAGAAAAAGAGAAAAGAGAGCAGTTCAGAGGTCATAAAGTCCTTCGAGTTTTTTTAGGAATGTCAGCTGCTCACCTGGTCTGTGCTTCTGCCACTGCCTGGTCTGGGGACATATCGCTGGTTATCATACCGATTATCCTACAGAACATCCAGTTAAAGAGGTGAGTGAAATAGGGCATATAAGGTACTGGTTGGAATACAGCTATGAGTGGTTTTTTCACGGATATGTTCTTTTGAGAAAGACATAATGCATCATGCATTGACTATATGAGGTGAGTGAAAAAATGGCTAATTGTGGGTAGTTTCAACATGGTATTCGTGGGGGAAAGGGGTATGCAAGCATGTATATCTGTATACTGTCCTATTTCACTGTTCATGTATGAATGGTTCATACCTGTACTTTTGAGAGAAGGTCAAGAAATACGTCTCTCTCCACAATCTGGAAAGGGAAAATTCCTTGTCAGCCCATTATTCTGACTTTCAATTATGGCACGAATATGTAACACCTCACCAGTGCGTGTGATGTACTGGTAAGTAATACATAATAATATGCACTCCCGGTTTTGGGTTACTGTGACTTACAACACCCACAACACTATGTGACTGCTGGACTTGTGTATCCACATGTTCATAAGGTTTTTTTCTGTCTCCAATCTCTGAGAAAACATTGCTCTTTGTGCAATCGAATGTATACAAATAAACCCATTTTTAGTGAGCCAACACTCATAGAGTGGGACGTTTAAACTGCTCTCTCTTCATGAAGGTCGCAAATGCACATTGTTAAATGTGGCAGGGTTGGTTACGATTATTGCACAATTCAGATGACTAGGTGGCTCATTGCGCTCGCTACTTACATAGCAGGTGTGTACAATCACAGTATAGAATGTGATAACTGTCAGTCAATCTGTGTGCAATGTAAGATATGACTATGTATAGTATAACATGTGTAGGATGACTAATGGTTTCGGTGATCATTGTGTAATTAGAACAAAGTACTCTAAAAGGCTGCAGTTCATTCCTATGTATAAAATATAAACACGAAAACTAGCACAGCTGGTTTCTACTTGTGTGTGAAACGTAAATATTTTGTGTGAATGAATGCTTCAGTCCAGGAACATGCTTGTGAAGTATAAACATTTCTCAGAGAGCTAAGTGGACCAGTTATTTGCATAAGGAGGTCAGATACGTAATAATCCATGACAATTTTTGCATGCGGCACGAAATAGATAGGGTGTAGTAGTTATGTAACCATGTGACTCTAGTGTTTCCTTCATTTGAGGTGTTCTTTGCGTAAGGAGTAAACCAGAAACTTTGGTGCCTATATACGTACCTCAGAATTCCTGACATTTGGATGTCTGTTTGCTTCTTCCATACTGATGCTAGTAGGAGGAAAAGTAATGAGGGGAAAGTGAGGGGAGCATTGATAATGAGTGTGAAATAAGCAATGACTTACCTCCAGACACTCTTGTCGTTCACCGAAGCAGAGCGACGTAGTTTGCTCTTGCGTCTAAGGGAAATTGAGCCGTAGCGTCTGTTTCGCCTGTGAAGCCAAGCAATAGGTCACTCCCATAGGGAACTGATACGTTTACTTATGGTACAGGTGGAGACAATTAGACCAGGGCATGGTAGAGACAGAGTCACACATTTGGCGCATGGTATTGGTATACATGTGCGTTCATGTGATACCTTGCTTTGTATGGATTGCATACACATGCTCTGTGGGAGGCCTGCGAGAAGAGCTAGAAACTAAATCAGTAACATTTAGGGTAATACGAGTCCATGCTATGACGCCCGAGCCATAGTGTGGCATGCCTACACAGCCAAATGTCTCCAGGAACCTGGTGTGTTGACAGTGTTGTTACTGGATTTCTCCATAATGGACAGGACTTGTTAACCTGCACCAAATACATGCTTCTAGTGTGTCTGTGTGGTCAAACTGGGAAACATGTGGAATATAATATACATACGCAGGTCATCTTGTTTACGAAGAGCCAACAGAAACCCTTCGGGAGTGTCGCATTCCATTTCAAAGTTAGCCTGTGATGAAGTCGACTTTGAGGCTGATAGCTAATTTCAGTATTTACACCGATATAATGTGGGAGAAATGTATGAATATGGCGCGTGACTCGATCCTGTTAGTTATGAACGGTAGTCTTTAGGTATCACAACATGTACAAAACCAGGGCCAAAGGGGGTGAACCTAAGGTTGTTCATGCCAGATTCAGAACTTTGTAGAGGTGGTTTGGAATTATGCTATGTCAGCCGATACAAGGATGCACATGTTACCATTGGGTATGCGAGTGAATGCACTGGGCATGAAGTATACATGGGTTTGCCCCAGTAGCCAACCTATCGTCTAAGAAGGGTGTCTAAGCACATTCATGACCATAACGCATGTTTGTCTTAGCCAGTAGTATCAACTGTATCCCTGGAAATCAGTCTAGAACAAACTACATCCATGGAAGGGAAAATCTGTGCAGCAAACAGGGGAAGGGCATATAGATTGCTGGCAGGGTATTCACGCCCTTATCCTTCTGGGAGAGCCTCTGTTATAATACTGCTTATCGGGTCTGGGAGAGTTTGCATCCTGCCAAATGATGTGATAATGTAATTTTGTAATGTTCTTTGTGATAAGACCCTTTACTGGTGTCCTGTGGCCAAGTTACCATGGAAATGACGTGGTGGCTGTAAACCACAACAGGGTTAGGGAGGTCTAAAAGTACGGAGATGTTTGCAGGCACATGCCCTAATTGAAGTCATGCTGGCCTGCCTAGCAAGTGCCACATCATATATATAGATGTTGGGGGGGCTAATGGTTCTGCGCATACCAAACATAGCCACCTGTCACCAACTTACCAGTAACCCCCACTAATCAAGGTTCATATTCGAAAATGAGGTTGTGGATCACCTGATACAACCATTGAATAACACCAGTGGCTTATTGTGTCTGAGAAAAACTGACTTGCTGGATTAGCAGCCAGTTCCTTAGCTGGTTAGGCCCAACAAAAACACTATTAGTCTGACCACACATGCAAAGTGTGTTAGTGTAGTTCAGCATCTGCCAAAGAGGGTTTGAACGCACGCTATATGATCAATACCAGTGTGAAGGGTTAATGGCGTCGAATGAACAGTAGACAATTGCAATATATGTACGTACATATTATACACACGTGTAACACTACGTATGTTGGCAGAGTCAAGTTCCAAAAAACCTTTGTCTAACTTATGGACGCAGTCATTTCTCATGCTCTTACACCGATATGAGCTTTATTACATCATCAGGGAAATTTTTGACGGAAGCACAGACTTTAAAGAGTACAGTCACAGTTTGTTCGAGTGCCAAGTGATGTTTCTTGTGATGTGGTGAAGGAGTATGTCACATTAATGTGCACTGATAAGGTATAATACAGCGAATGCTACAGGCAAGTACAACAAAATGGGCATGTAGGTATCGCAAACATCCTGTGGGGCCCTTTTGTTTAATTAGGCTCTCCCTTTGCCCTCTACCTATACTGTGATATAATACACTTGTATAATGAAGTAACTAATATGTGAGTGGGAGGTAGAGGCGTGGGCTCTAATATATATCGCTCTTTGTGTAGCGCTACAGCGCTACGTACATACGTAGCTAGTGTGGAAACACATACAAGCTTCTTGCATATGAGCTGTACACCCTACATTATTACATACTTACACATCACACACATAATCATACATGTATGGGGCTACTGTGCACTATATTATATGCACAAAGCAAGAGTATCTCAAGCTTACCAGTAGCCAGGAGGCCCTCCAGTCTTCTTCCTGCCCAATGGAGTCCTAATATCTGAACTTCCAGCAGATTTGGTTACACTCTCACTCATTATCAACAATGCCTGCTCTGCTCAAATGCCTCACGAGGAACTATAGCTATGCTTTATCTCAGGCTCTCAGTCCTGGCTTGGAAGTACTAGCTACACGAATGAGCTTCTGAGGTATCGTATCTGCCTTATAACTCTACACGTGACACTAATTGAGTTACTTAGGGGAAATTCAACGTCAATCACATTCCAAACAAGCGTAGGCAGACACAGTGCACTTGGGAATTTTGGCAGTGATGACAGATTCCAATGGGCATTAGGTATAGTAACACAGTGCACGCAATGCTCACGTGAGTTTGAATCACGTTGCTTATCCAACATTGGGGAATGCTTGTAGAGTATTGGGGAAAAAATGTGTATCCATAACATGACATAATTATAAGAACACTCACCAAACAAGTGTACACATTGGAGGGGTAGAACCCAGGGAGATAGAAAATCACTAGCATGACATTACACCTTCCCTTTTCGAAACAATAGCATTAAGGTGCTCTGCATAAGGCAGCATGATGTAATTTGTCCTTCCCAGTTACAATAAAATTGTTATATAGTGACCTGAGCTGAATTCTTTGTGGCCGGTGAAGCATAAAGTTATGGAATACTCCCACAATAGCACTTTTGGACTAAGATCGGTGTGTGTGTGTGTGCATTTATGCCGGGTCATTCAGTAAAAAAACTGTCGATAACTTGGGAAAACATAGAGCTTCTCAACATACTCACATTCTCTTCTATTGACATAGCTACATACAGGATTCCATGTATTGACACTAGAACACTATTTTTATTGATCATATGGGTTAATGATGTGAGTCTCTGTAAACGTACACAGCATGTTAACTTAAACTACGGAAGTAGGTAGCCCTAAGGGGATTGACGATTAGCTACTCATCCCTTGCTGAAACCCAGGGGAATACTATTTATCAAGCTGTACGTACATACAAAACCATAGCATATCTACTGTGTATGCATGGTGTTTAGTAGAAGTATTTTGTGACATTATGCGTACATTCTCATTGAAATGAACAATGTTTTTGTAGGTTTGGTTGAATAGCAATACCCATGTGGCAATTTCTGTACACACATGCCTCTTGTTCGTATTATTGTTCATCAACATTCATGGATGTGACTGGTAGCTACTTAAAGGTTTCGAGCCACTCACGATGCTACACTAGTACCCTTATAGACTATGTCAGGGCCATGTTGAGACTACATGTCCCAATGTGTAATCACACACCTAGGTATGCTGTCTAAGAGCATAATGCCTTTGAACAAATAATGCTCTCCCAACATTGGAGCTTCCGTTAGCAATGTAGTAGAGTTCACTTTTACCTACGTCCTCATGCAGGCTCCACATGCAAACTGCAAAAGTCACACCCACCCATGCAGAGGAGAAAAGCAGAATGAGGCTAACTAAGGTGTCACCAGTTACGCGAGGGACATTCTTAACATCATTACCTTCCACAAAGTCAGTGGAGGGTAAACTCTTGCATAAGTGTGTGCAAGGAAAACACTGAAACAGTGTATGACTGTCAGTTATTTATGTCCAGTCAAAACACCGTTTGTTCAGCGAGTTTGTTCCTTTAGAGAACCACACCTTTCACAACATAGTATCCTATAACTTTAGTGGTTCAAGAACTCGAAATGCACAGCAACTTGTTCTGGCGAGTCCTCTTCTTTTGAGAACCACACCTTACACAACACAGTCTGGGTTAATAGTCTAGAGCTTAGTACCGTAAGAAGTCCTGGAGCATGCATAATATTGCAGTGTTTCTTTTCTGTGAATTGTATTCACTTTTCCCTAACAACCACACACAGTGTCAAAACACTTTGCTAACACATCTTCACCAGATCTAAGGTGGCAGAAGCATCCCTCCTTCAGTTATTCACTCCCACATAAACACTATCTATAGCAGGGGTGTGACAGTTGCAAAAACTCCCCAGCCAATTGATAACTATGCAGGTTATCCCTCATTCACATATCATTCAGTGTATACTGTGATAGGTGTGTGTACCATCAAAGTAATCCCTTGGTTGACACCATCAAAGTGTAATTATTGCATTGGGAAGACATCTGCACAAACTAAGCAATTGGGCGGCATGAATGCGACAAACACTTGCAAGTATTCATGGCATGTTATAGACGTTATAGCTAGGTAGTATGAAACGATGCCCTCAATCCATGAAATCAACGAAATATATAATATGTCTCTGTTCAATATATAGCTCCCTGTTTCGAACATTACCGCTGTCCCAACCAGCCAGCTAGAATCTAGCCAGCAACAGTAGCTACAAAGAGTAGCACTGAGAATGAGTAATAGCTAAAAATCAGTACTCGCCGCGGCTGAACTTTACCGTAAAATGCGAAGTCATGTAGCTAGTGCATCTGGCGCGTTATGTGCGCAGTATATACGGTAACTTACGCGGCGGGATATGAGTGAAACTAACTCCGACGCCAAACTATCTTTGCACTTGTTTTGCAGAGCTCGGACTGGCTGGTGCCCGCCCACTTGCGGGAGGAGCTGCCGAACCATTGACGCGCTATGACGACGTTGTCTTGTTGTGCGCATGCGTTATGCGTTATGGGCCCGCGCAGCATTTAATTTACGCGTGGATTGGACACTGAGTTTTCAAACAACTAATTTCTCTCCATAGGGTTCATGAGCCAACACTCGTTGAAAAGAAAAGTTTTTCAAATCAATAGAGTGCGAATTTCCATCCAAGATAATCTCACTCACAGCCCTGCCCACACCTGGCGCCATTTGTATTCCATGTCCACTGAACCCATTGGCAAATACGTAGTTGGTAACGACAGGATGGGTCCCAATAATTGCATTCTGATCCAATGTATTGTATTCGTAGTAACCAGACCACCCACTTTGCACCTAATGAAATGCAGATAGGTTGAGCAAGAGAGCACAGTGGGTAAACGTGCCTCATCATCCCATGTGTGTTACCTTTTTGCTTTTGGATATATTATACTTAAAAATCACATAGGATTCTAAGGCAACCCTGCTGTGGCAACTTTTTGAATTCTGGAAAATCAAGTCACCTTCAATTCCTCAAAAGCAGGAACCCATTCTGCTAGAGACGGCCACAATACTTCGTCAAACACTCTGTAATCAACGGCCTCTAAATCAACTCCATCTGCAGCTTTATCCACTGCCTAGAACCAAAGAAAAGCCATGCAACACAGATAACTTAACTCCAATTCACTCACTTTTGATGGGACATAGCCAGCAAGAAATGTCCCAGTGGATTCCCTTCTCCAATAGATGTTTTTGGCAATGACTAGAGGGCAGTTTGGGAGATCAGTGGGACACTTGAACACAAACACAGAGCGTAGACGGGGCTCTACTGGTAGTCTAGTCCTCATGATGTGACAAGTATGGTCACTTCTACCAATGCCTGCCATGAGAGCTAACTCAGCGGCCCATGGTCCACAGGCATTGACAAGGTAGTTGCACTCAATTTCTTTCTCTTCTGTTGCATTTTGAACCTGGAGAAAAACATTTGCATTATCCAGCCATAGCCATGTGCACATGTATCATCAGCGAGGTCAAAGTAAAGCAAAGGCAAACAACACCTGCCCTGGGTGGAATTCTAACTCAGGACAATCTACACTCTGAGAAAGCACTCTCCCTGCTGAGGCTACCAGGGCAACTCCGCAGTAAGGGGATCAAATCTACAACTCAATTCATGGCACAGTATATACACTCTCACGTGTCCTAAACGGCTCTGTACCTTTACACTCTTCACACTGTCATTCTCGATATTGACACCCACAACTTCAGCGGAGATGTAGTCTGCACCAAGTGATATTGCTTTCTTTTTAAATCCACTCAGCAAAATCCATGGGTCAAACCACCCTTCATCCCTGAATCCTGTACAAGAACTACGTAGTATTGACGAAACTAAAGTATCATACCATACCTTACCAAAGCTTGCAAGTGATACCCCTTTCGTGCTTAGCCAGGGGAATTTGTTGGCCAGCTCAACTGGATCAAGAAGCTCCACGTACACGCCTAATTCCCTTTAACAAAAGTACGCACTAACTATATACAAGTTTGGGCCAAAAAATGGCAAATAGAGTTGGCAACTACCGTTGCAAGGAGTAATTCTCCCTCATCACTGCCTCTCCTTCTTCGGATGCAAGGAATAGGTATCCTCCTTCAACAAAACTTACATCCACTTTATCTTCGCCCTCTACTTCAAGATGCTGGTGAGCACTCTTCAGGAATTCAATAGAAAACTTTGACATGGAAATGTTTTCAGGACAGGAGAACTGCTGTCGTATGGAGGAAAATGAGCGCATACTGGAAGCCCTTGTGTACTGCAGGTGGAGAATGATTTGGAGGTGAAGTAGTGCTAGCAATGCATACAAGAAAACTTATGTATACGAGTATGATTGATTCATGCAAAGGATAGAAGCCATTGATGTATGTGCATTAGCTATTAGTGAACGAGGTTGTAAGCTTACACTGGGGTCTCTCTCGATCACACAGACGGATTTTCGCGGCATTCTCAAAGACAAGAAATAGGCACTGGCGCTCCCCATGACTCCGCCACCAACCAGCACGACGTCGTAACGTGATGTCGTGTTAGGACGGTCGGTAACAGAGCTAGTGTGACTACTGCGGCGGCAAAAGAGAGAGCGGAGCGTTCGAGCCGCGATCAGAAGCGATCCCCGAGAGAACACTTGCTGCACAGTCGCCATTTTCCTCTGTTCCACGCAATGGGTGGGGCTCGTTTTGCGTATTATACGCATGCGTAGATATTTTCTGGCATGCGCGTTACACTACAGTGCGCCCCGCCCCCTCCTGCAAAAGGCAATCCGGAAAGACTTCTCACTTGGTCAAGCTCAAAGTCGACGTTACAAAGCTACATCTGTCTGTGAAACTGCAAGATAGTGCGGCAGCCAGGTGAGTTGAGTGGAGGACTTTTCTTGCACTCTAGCCCAAACAAATACGGGAAAGCTTCAAGCTGTCGAGTACCACGCTGGCTGCATATCTTTTCACAGCTGTATAAACGTTCATTATGGCGGAATCGGAACTCGCCCAGAAGCTGTCCCGGCAGAACCAGATCATCGATGGAGACGTCAAACCGGCGAAGGTGTCGCAGTCTGTGTACGCGGAATTCAAGGAGTTCTCTATTCGGGAGATCAAGGAGTACAGGAAGACCTTTCAAAAGTGAGTTAGCAAAGTATTCTTCTATGCCACTCTTCCAAAGGAAGTCACTGTGGTGCCAAAAACCTGTACAGATCAAAGCCACTTTGCCTGCCCATTGTTCAATATGTAGCTAGGACCTGTCCTTCATGCACGTAGGGTATTTGGTTAATTAGAGGTACTACGTAGCTATCTGGGTTTAATTGAGCATGAGATGATCAGCTTGTGAGCTTAATGAGCATTACCTTTTTAGATTCGGGGAGTAAAACCTCGCTGTATAACTGGCGTTAACTATTTTTTGTCTGAGATCCTATCTATTGCGATTAACCCTCCTACGTAATAACTTTCAAGTTGATTTTTGTACATGCATTTCCCTGAGGAATAGCTGCAAATCTATGTAGGCAGAGTATGGTTCACTGGAGTATGAATCAGTGGTTGTTTGTTCAGGGTTCTGTAAGGGGCACAGCATGGTGGCATAATAATATAGAGAAACCTCGTACACTTATAAGTAGGTGTATGTATCCACACTGAAAGTGTAAAGAAGGAGGTTGATGTTTGTTGGCATTGGGTTAGCCCAACTATTTCACGCTGTTTACTTTGCAGCCCCAACACACCCATTATGGGAACGTGTGAATAGAGAGGACAGAACTAACCACATTTATTGCCTTGTACTCTACTCCCCTGTCATGGCATCTGTTTTCATGACTAGCCTCCTGTAAATAGGCAGGGTGTGTTATACATCATTGTCACCGTGCATGGTGCCCAGTTTTGCCATTTATGGAATTGCATGTTTGAATACCAGCCGCAGTGGTTTACAGTTGATGTGAAGCCTTTTTGTCTTTTCGGTGCTGCATAGGGTCCCAATCATTTAAGCCAACCAATCATCCTGAATACCTCGACTACACGTGTAGCTAGCGGACACACCAACAGGAGTGGAGTTTGGAGAGCTGTGCCTACTTAACTTTTATTGGAGTGTGAGAGAACTGTGGTTGGTGTTCCTTCACTCAGCTCGTGTGCTATGCAATTTCGTGCATGCACAGCTGTTGTTTGGTAGTTGCATTACCCTCCTCCAGCTAGAGTCAAGGTATTTAGGATAGTTGGTTGGTGGTTTATTCCCCCAATGTGTTTGCTAAAATAGTAAAAACTTGGGCAATTCTAATGACTTTACCTAAATGTACTCACTAAAAGTTTTGCCAACATTTTTATTGGTTACATTGACCCCATTTTCCCACAGTTGCTACCTTTTGCCCTAAAGTCCAATGCATAATTATAGCAGAAGTCAGTGGTAGTGGATAAACAGTGCTGCCGATGAAATTGAGTGGTAGTGGATAAAGGGTGCTGCCAATGAAATTGAGCTATTGAAGTGGTAGATGCTCAATAGGGTGTGGAAGTTATAGTGTGTGTGTGTTTAGGGTGTGTAGAAGTTATAGAAGGTGTGATCTGTAGCCTTATTATGGGAACTTGGGTATAAATTTACCGTAAGATGTGTACAATACAGCTGTACCATACATAACCCTCCCTTTCAAGCTTTAAAGGATGTGTTGTCTGTATGTATCCAGGTATGATGTAGATCACAGTAACTTCATTGACTTCATGGAGCTAAAGCTGATGATGGAGAAGCTCGGAGAGCCACAGACCCACTTGGCCCTCAAGGAAATGATCAAAGCAATTGATGAAGATAATGACGGAGAGATCAGCTTCAGAGAGGTCAGTATATCAGTTCCTGAAAGTAGTCAGTGTAGTGTACACTACATACAGTGTAACTGTATGTAGTGTAGTTAGTTAGCATGAGCAAATGCAAGGGAATGTAATACTTGTAGTATGTTAGCCATTGATCATTTGTCATCATTGGCCTGTTTTCAATAAGCCACACCCTTCCCGTGTGGCCTGAAATTAGTGTTTGGTTGCTGGCCAACAGCTAAACGTATGCATGCAGTATGCGTTCATCTTTTATGTTTGTCATTTACCATGCATTCATACAGTTCATGCTGATTTTCCGGTATGCACGAAATGGGACACTTGAGATTGAAGGACTCAAAACCATAGCTACCACATGCAACGTGGCAGAAGAGGGCGTCAAAGGAGCAAAGGGTTTCTTTGAAGCCAAAGCACAGGAGGTTAGTAAACCACTTTATTGTCTGTGGGGTGTGTCATCAGTGTCACAATTTGTTTATATTGACTATTATTGTTACTATTGTTTTATGATTATTAATTAGAGCTTTAACTTTGAAATATTTGAGGGGACTCTAATTGAAATAATTTGAACTTTAGTTCCTGCGTGTTCAATCTTTTCACATGTACACTTCTGCATATACTTATGATACACATTTGATCTCTGCACTTGGTTACTTGCAATAGAGCAAATGAAGAGTACACACCTTTCACTAAAACCCTCCTATGGCTATGTGTCTTCATTCAACTAGGTTGCTGCAGGGGCCAAGTTTGAAGAAGAGATTAGAGCAGAGCAAGAGCAAAAGAAGATCGAAGCCGAAGAGAAGGCCGAGAGAAAAAAGAGCCTTCAAGGAGAAGGCGTCGATGTGGCACTGACAGTCGGAACTGTGTGTCATAGTATACAGCCATTCTTACTCCTTCATGCAGGCTTTGCACTTTTTATTTATCGGATAAAACTGTTTGTGTATTTGCAGCCTACATGACTTTACTAGCAAGTTGTAGGAACTTAAATGAAAGCAACTTGAGGGTCTTGATTAAATGTTAGGCAGGGTGGAGCTCTTGAAAAGGGGCAACCTCTGAAGGGGGTGTGGCCATGCTCCTTACCACTTCTGCTGCAGCAGCTCCTGACCTTGCAGTCTCCGAGATCGCTTTAGTTCTCTGTTTGAGTTAGGCTTGTTGGAAAAAGATCGTGTCAAAATTTTTTAGCATTATTTTACTGGGGGCAGAAGTAAGTTGGTGTCTAGAAAGTATACGAGACAGACACTGGTATTTATTTACCATTTGCTCCACCCATTGTTATGGGTGTGTTGGTCTAAGTGCCTACAGGAATAAAGATGAACGATATAATACTCTTGTATGATGACGGAGAGTAAGATCAAAGGAATTCCAGCTAGTCCAAACAACGTACACGCGTAGTGAGCGCTTCCTGCTGAGTTTACGGGTAGTTATACCATAAAGAGGCCATACGATTTCCCCATACTTTAGCTGTATGTCAACTCATTTGCATAACCACAATGGATATATGGTAGTTATACGATAGTAGGAAATTGGCAGCGTGTAATGCAATTAGGGGGCTTTCACACTCTTTGTGTGCTGCTGTTCTTTACCAGAAGGGAGTGTTTTCAGGCTAGAATGGCCAGAAACTGCTCTAGTATATACGCGGTCTGAAAACTAGCTAAAAACTGCTTCCCGACGCGTAGGCTCCCGTAGACTGGAACAGTATGTGACTTTCAGCTTTCTTGCTACTGCAACAGGCTGCATTCGAGAGCGCTGGGTATAGCGGGAGAGAAAGCGAGCCAGAGCGGCAGCTACAAAACTCGCGTGGATGGAGTCCAGCAGCGAAAAAGTGACGTACTTGTAACGTTGAACTCTCGAAAAAATGACCATGGCTTCTGCACAACCGCCCAGCTTGACAAAACTAAAGCGCTTATTGCAGCTGTCTCTCCGCTCCCGATCGGTCGCTAGCTCTCTCCGGCCGTACACTCGAGGGTGTGCGTTAAAAAGAGGGCATTTTGAAAGCTTTTGTGCGATCTCATTGGTCAGAGCCTTACCGCGGGATGTCATCATACAAACACGTTATACGATGGCTTTGCTTGTGGTTTACTGGTTGTACACTCGTGGCTTCAGTTTTGATAGACCACTCGGGCTACGCCCTCGTGCCCTATCAAAACTGGCCACTCGTGTAAAACCAGTAAACCACGCGGCGCCATCGTATAGCCTATACTTCAATGATGATTTGCTTACTGATTTTTACAAGTTTCAATGAAAGTAAAATGTGGGTAGATGCTAATAGATTGTTTTTGTGATGTTATTATAAATTATATACAAGCTATAATTATAAGTCAAAGATAAGTAAAAAAAAAGGTTAAGCAATTAAACACATTTTATGTGCAAAAGAGCATTATATAGAATAAGGGATGATCTGTGTGAAATAATATAATAAACATCTGGAGGTTTTTGACACTATTTTTGAGTCCAAGGAAACCACGGCCGCAGGTCGTATGGTACCGTAGAAGCCCCTACATGAACAGTGTTGAGTTTTGTATCTGACACGGTTGAACGTGGGACTTGTTGAAATTCAACTCTGAATCCTGAGTTTTGAAAGGCACTGTTGCTGTTTAAGTTTCTTGTCCTGAATCTAAGAGTTGTCGATGTTACATTGCTGTCCCTGATATAGTAGGAGATATTGCTGATGTAGTGGCACAGTCGTCTGTTGTTCTTGAAATGCCCGTGTTGCATTTTTAAAAACTCTTTCCTGCATTTGTCCGAGTATTGGATGTTCACCACGCGAATTGTCAACTTCAGGACATGCTCGGGGTGTATCAGAATTTTGTATAGGCAGTTCTGGTGATCATGGTATGGTCCTGGGTACCCAGTTGGTTCGACTACACCTTGTGTTACATTGTAAACCTCTTCACACCCTATTGGAGGATAATACATGCACTGTGAAACCGGAAAATGGACCTTGCATGTATTTTAGGACACCTCTCTACTTCGTTCTGCACCAGACTCAGACATTACCTAACCCACAAGTAAGGGACACTTCTGAGTAATGGGCCATTTCAATGTCACCTAAAGTCTCCGTTATCTACAATTTTTTTGTTCAGCGTGGTGCACAAAGTCATGATGCTATTATACTAAGTGCTAATGTAAGTAGTGATACTTACTTGTACAGTGCTTTTTGTCAATATGGAGGGCATAGCCTTCATTACAGATGCACTGATAGGAACCCTGGGTGTTCTGACAGTTCTGTTCGCATCCGTGTGAGTTGGTTTGGCATTCGTTTATATCTGGAGAGTACAAGAAATGTGTTGTACTTATGGTTAATGTGTGTTGACATAATATACCTCTGCATCCTCCACTTTTGTTGACCTTGAAGCCTGCTTGGCAGATGCAGTTACCAATACCACTATCGTCCGTCTCACACATGTAGCTGCAGCCACCATTGTCAATGTCACACTGATGGGTCGTTTTCTAGAGAAAAGGCCATAAACGTTGGGGTAAAAAAGTATATAGCTGTGTTGTAGGGAGCATGCATGAATAGTAATACCTATGAATTCGTACGAGATGTTGAATCCTCTCCTGTTGTATGTGACATCTGTGTGGAATCTCAAAATGACCGTGTCCACCAAAATGTGACTAGTGATGGGGCCACGACCTGTAAGGTTCCCACAAAGGCGTTCTGAGCTGTAGATAAATTGCCATTGGTAAAAATAAAAACTAGTGAGGTGATAAAGACGCACCGTGTAGCGGTTCCAGCTTCTGTATTGACATGATGTATCTCTAAATAGTCATGTAAGCACTCTGTGTCGAATTTTCAAAGTGCAGTCGAAGTGCAGCATTGGCTGGAACCGTAATCTTCCAAATGCACTCAGTATTATGGTCATAGTCCATTGGATAGTTCGGAGAGAAAATGTTGCCGTGCCTGGTTTTGCCGGTCACTTTTCCAGCGATATGTCGCACATTTGTGTCTGTTTTGTGTGGTAAAACAAAGGAATTATGACTGGAGTTCTATGGTAGTCCACAACTAACTGGCTATATATTATACAGACACACCAAATCATATTAGCCTCAGTTGCCTAAACCCTCTCGACTAAATTAAACTGACTTAGACTATATGCTAAACCAATTTCTTGTCTATGTCAGAGAGCTTCCATAGAACAAGTAGACAAAGCATCCGTGAAAAAATGCTTTGCAGTGGGCCCCAAAGTGTCCCAGTTAAGTTAAGTTAAGAACCTTGATCTCCACTGCTGGTTGTATCAGAAATGTTGTTATTGCTTCCTTCTGGACCGCCACTTCTTGAATTTGTGACATTACTCCCTTTACAGCTTTCTGCTCCTTCATTTGAAATTCCGGCCATTCGTTGAGTGTTTCCGATCAGCTTCCCAATAACGGTTACGAGAGTTCGGTCTAAAGTACAGTTTTCATTTATGTACACTTTCTGTCTCCGATGTGTCGGATATTCTGTTCTCCCATGGTTTGAGCAACACCTGCCAGGAAATTGAGACATTCACTTTAATCATAGTGATAACTTTTAGTAATGCCTTATTTATTCCAGGGAGGTTTGGACTTGCGTACACTACTCTGTTACACTAACACAGCCATGCATGTAAATATCGATGACGCCACAAGGCAAAGGCAAAGCATACAATAACCCAAGGGCAGCTTTTTTTTCCAAGGAAAAAATTGTCCTGGGTGCAATTCAAATTCACAACACTCTGTGTGCAATCTAGGCAGTCCATGAATAATTGCATTGTAGGAAACCATACTATAAGGATATCTAATGAAGTGTTACACAACACAAGGTACGTGTTTCATGCACACACCTTTCTCCAGGTACAAAGCTCACAAAGTGCTCTGTTTCCTCGGCTTGTTCGTGGTGTGGTATAAATGAAATGGTGTCACACATGCGCCTTTCCCATACTGGCATTACTCTCAGTATTTCTCTCCGGGCATTAACTGGAATAAAATGTTTTAGCATGTGAGTGTGTTAGATATGCATAGGAAACACATAGACTACTTAGTGTTACATGACCAGTTGCAGCGTGTGTTAGCTGCTATGAATAGTCAAGACGGGATGTGTTCACACTTGTATGCAGTCATGTGTTTCATCTAGCACTAGCGTATTTGTACGTTTTAGGCAGCATATTGACAGCACACAGACTTGATTAATCATGCTACTGTCTACCTTTACCGCATAATAATTGACTGGTAAGAAACCATGTCAGAATTATGTGGTTGGCCCTTGGGAATATCCATTGGTCTGGTAGATATGGCCAGGGCTCCGCTTGACCATCAACACACCGCAGCCCACAGCAATGTACCATAGTCTGGTGGTACAATACAGGGCCGGACAATCACGCCACAGGTTATGCTTCATGTTTCCTTTGTGGCTTTACCAAGTATGCAATTTTTGAGAACCCTGTTTCAGAGGAATCCACCTTGTAAAGAGAATTTTATCTATATACATATCCGTGGGCTCTGCAACCTCCATATTGAGAGGCACTCCATCTTTAGCTACATTAGGCCGAGTGCTTCCTGTCTAGGGCACATCATTGAACAAAGAGGTACTCGCAGGCAGGATAAGAGACCTTCTAATATTTTTGCATAGACAAATAATAGGCATGCAGAAGCTTGCTATTACTGTTGCCCATAGCGTGCACAAGAGCTAACCCATGTCTCTATATCAATATAGGGAGTTGTGTTACAAAACCACATAATATGGAGTGAGTTTGATGGCGCCACAGGTCTATGAGACACATATGCAGAATTTGAACTTTGACTTTTGATAAACTGTTTCTCAAGGCAATACGTTTCCATGGTAGTAACCAATGCAGTGCAACATGTATCCATGGCAGGTGATTATGACAGTGCTGCATTTAGACCTGCAACTGAGCTGAGCTCAACATTGTTTAGTAAGAGCCGCTAAGCAACTGAACAAACTCAGGAAGACTCAGGTTACATGCCAAGCATTCTTCTGATATATTTCTGCCATTTATGTGGGTGTTATGGTTGGTACCAAATTCCATAGCCCATGCTCCAGACAAAAAGAGATTTATGTCCACAACCCTACAGGATAAGGACACACTTAGTTTTTTTGTGCAGCCTTATGTTAATTGCATGCCTCATGAGGCTGATCTAAGTCTGACTCTTGGCTTCACTACCAGCATTCTTCTAAGATATTGCAGGAAATGTTAACTGGTGTTACTCAGTGCTAGGCAGAACTCACTTCGTATGAACTCACTTAGGGCATCAAAGCACCAAATCACCTTCTGTACCAAGTTTCCTAACCATTCCATTAACAGAGTGAATTTCATTCCCCCACCCCCAACGTTTGTTAGGAAACTTGCAAAATTGCACAAACGGTTCATCCCAGTCGAAAATGCAAGGTATGTGTCTGATCTTGTTGCTGGGTTACTGCATAGCTCTGTGAGTTAACTGGTGGCAGGATCTCACAGAAGGAATCGCTTTTGGTACCTCAGTCTGTTTGAATTGAGGCCACAATTGCTCAATATGGCCATGGAATGTGTTTCTGCTGTAATCGAGTAATTAGCTAACCCTTTGATGTTATGACAGGCACGTGTTGGATACAAACTGTCCAGATTTGTGGCACTGGTAATCCGATACACCAAAGCTATGGTGCATACAGTTTTGCCTAAGTTAACTTTAAGGTGTTTCGCAATCTGACGTACTGGTCTATGGTATTCGTATGAAGTTACCGAGTGATTGGTCCACGTGCATATGTAGTGATGGATTTTCGAGTTCTAACTTACCTGTCAGATTGCTGCTCATTGTGTAAAGGATGATGTTGCTCGGCCATACTTGCACCTGGTCTGATGGTATATCTGAGAATCAAGAAAAACACTTTATCACTAATTAGCACATTGCAGTGCACGAATAGGACTGACAGGTCCTTTGATGGATGAGTCACATTTCCCCACTGCATTGTATGTGTGAATGGCCATATGCATGCATACACACACACTCGTGTAAAATAATAGGGTTCTGGTGAAATCTATTGTCTGTGCTGCACATGTATCCAAGAGGGAAATAATAACATGTGCTTTGGTCCTTGTCTAAAGCATTGAGATATGATGAGCAATAGCTAAAGTAGCACGGACCGTGATTAATGTTGCCACTTGGCAATCTCTTAGTTTTCAGTGCTAAATATCAACTTATAATGGAGCAAGAATTTTGTTGTGCCAACAATGAAATAATTGAAACTCCTAAAGCCGGCAAATCGTCTGGGTATTTTCACTAAAGCTCGTGTAGAATTTTTTTGATTGACAACAGCTATGTATTCACAGTAACGTGAAACATTGTTGGAGAAACCTGATCAGTAAATGCGAAGCGAAACATTCTCACAATGCAATGTCACAGACATAAGTGTGGTTACAAAATGGATAATGGTGATTATAACGACCCGCGATGCGGGGGACCTCGGCCCAAGGCAATTGCAATCGCACATACGCGCGCGCAAACCGCTGCTGCGAAGCTAGCTAGCATCAACTCACTTTCCTGCGGGCATAGACTTGGGAACATTGGTGTTGGTGGAGGAACGCAGTGAACGTTGCATACGAAGGTGAAGAGAAGCAGGAGAGCTCCATATATTGGTCGCACGCATTCAGCTGAAGAGAATAATGAAACGAGCATTTTTCTGCGAGTCCAGAGTAGGTCTGAAGATGAAATCTGCTGCAGTTAGCTAGCTATAGCCGTCGGTATGATCGGCTCCTGCGCATTCACTGCTTTTTCTACTGCTTGTTTACATGATTATATACCAACCCACGCGCGTGCCTCGCCCCCGCTCCACGTGTATGCACTTCAGGGGATCACCGCAGAAAAGTTGCTCCTCATCCGCGAAGAAGGCGTGGATGCTTTGCGCATGCGCGCTTTGGCCCCTGCTCCGCGCTCGCTAGCTATCACGTGAAGGCAGGTGTAACCAGACCCAGGTCTTGCTTTCAGCTACTTTCAACTCCTCTCATGCTACATGATGTTACCTTGTTACCCTGTTACCTTAACAGGTAAAGCAATGGAAACTGGAGGTGAAGAAAAAGAAGGCGACAAGTTGTACACGTGGGAGACAAAATATGAAAAGACATGGTATAAAGTGGAGATTGAGTTGTATGCCTAATATTGCCATTTCTTTCCCAGCTGTATACAATAGGAAAACAAAAACCTGTTTCTTATCTACACATCCGACTTTCCAACCTGTTAACTGGGTACCAGCCTTATTAGTGGGTAATTTTTGAAGTTGACCACCCAAAAAGTGGCACATGCGAATTTTAATAGGTGTGTCATCTGCAAACCTCAAAAAATATTTATGTAAGAATACACAGTGAGATTTGATATCCTGAAATGGGGTCAAAGTTTGCATTGTTGGAACACCCTCATTGATAGTGTCGTAGAGATGATAGGGGGATAATTTTGCATAGCTAATCTATACAGAATCATCGACAAAGGTATCGTTTCTGCAGGGAAGATATACGTGAGGATGCGGACGGACTACTGACGGCAGAGGATGAGGCCGAAGCATACAAGTTAAAGCGGAGGAAGTACGTATGATCAATTTCACTGCATGTGGTACCCAACATCAAAGCGGCTACTGTTGAAATATTTTCTACAACTCAATGTTTTTTCAAGTGCGTTATGTGCACCGAATGCGTGTGAGCAGTCGGTGTGTGGTTTGGCGAAGAATTTCATAATTTTGTTATCAGTGGATCAAGTATGCAAGGCTCTCTTGTGTGAAGTTTTGTGGCCCCAAAACAAGTCCTCCCCCTGAATTCAACTTTTTGTTTAATGTGGATTACTACGTATCATCACTTCTACCCATCCATCGTGTGATTAGTGACCTCCTCTTTTTTATTTCTTTGGGCACAGGCTCTTTCAACATTCCTCCAGTGTTCGGCTTGGAATGGTGAGCATACTATATGGATGTATGCTACTCCTTTGGTCTTGTGGTACAGGCACTATATATAATTTCTGAATGTGTAAATTTCCATGAAGTTGTATATATACTATATATGCAGAACCATTTGGAAGTGAAAAACTGTGCCAACCCACAAGGTTGGGTGCTTGCAACCATAAAATTAGAACCCTGATATGCCACTCGTACACAGCACATTTGTGATAGACTTGAACTGTATAATAATTATGTCTGGTGTATAGCGTAATGGTAGTGCGTTGACATCTTCAATAAGCTTCGTAGTTTTAATTATGAAAGCTCAGCCACATCAAAGTTAAATCCAGTTGTTTAGCCAAGGAGGCTTTTTTCTTTGGAAAGAGTTATCATGTGTGTATATACCTCGTTTGTTTGCTTTGCCATTGCCTAGCAACCTCATTGTCGTTTACATGCAAATATTGGCAGATAGCCCGGGCATTCAGAGATGTGGTTAAAAAAATGTTTTCCGGGAATAATTTTGCTGTAATTCGCCACATTGAGGTGGTCTGTTTGAAGGCAGGGGAAAGTGGGAGGAGGCAGATGGGTAGGAATCTGCTTGTGCCCATTTCCCAGTGTTTGAGGTCTGAGCAAGTCAGACAAGCTGTCGCTGTGCTGTAAACCAACCACCGAAATATCTGCCATTCCTAACTCTTTGATCTACGCAGGAAGTGAGTGGGCCACTGAAAGACTATGGCAGGTGGTCCGTGCAGAATTCCCCAGCCATCCTTTGCATTCCTGCATACCTATGAACAGAGCTTCTCTCTCCCACGTGGTCACGCATGTACACGAGAAATAGAATCTGGGTATCTTTAGCCTTAGCTCACGTGTATAATGCTTATCCTTTGCCAACCAATGATTCGTGTCATTCGGCTGTTCGTTTACTGTTCCAGTTACTGGTTGACGGCATGTTCATTTACTCATGCAAAGCCTGTGCACATGAATCTGACATTGAGTATACACATTTCTCCATTACATACGTGATTTGTGCTGTGACATACGTGAACTTTTGTGACTAATAGTTCATATCATGTTCTGACTTCCACTCAGCCTTCACTATGATCAACAACACATGTATATACGTGACCTTAATCTGAATTTTTGTGTAAAGCCAATCAGTGTGCTTGACAAGCTCAATTAGAAGTGAGTGCTTCAGAGTTGAATATGTAAAAAAAAAGGCTGACCACAGCATGTTGCTAACCCAAAATAACTTCTTAAGGAAGGTTCCACATAAGTAATAATTTCGACTAGGCTGTGTTTTGCATTACTGCCCTGTGACTGCATGTGTGTACAGGCGTTGATGAATGAAGTGGCAAGAGAACAGACAGTGTCTTGCCAAGTCGATGTTGTGGCGGCGCAGACCATTAGTTCAGGCAAGAGGGAGAAAAGCCCTATTAGGCGTGTGTAGTCCTAACTGGTTTACCATATGTCACGGTCTACCTACCCATGAGACACTGATTAGCTTTCAATTCTCTATAGAGTAGTTCACGCCCGTAATAGCTCGCTTAAATTATGTCTGGAGATTTATACCTCATCAGTCTGTGCAGGAAGAACTAAACAAATTACCAGAAATATCCATTACCAGTCTGAATAAAGGAGCCAGTGTCCTTAACGGCTTTGCTGCTGTTACTTTTCACCGTCAGATGGTCGAGGGGAAATTGTCCGACAACAGACTTGAATTACGCAAAGTTACAATTTTGCAGCTAGTGATGATATCTTATGCAACAATAACTACAAAAGACCTTCTTTTGACAACGTTTGGACCTACATACGTATAGTAATGTAGGATAATTTTCATTCAGTTTTCATATAATATCGTGCGTACAGTGCGTGTTGTACTTACCGTAAGTGTGTACGTATGTGACATTATTGCCCTTCGCCCGCTTTGCCTCACAGATGCGCCATATGTTTGTCATTGTTGACAGCTCTCAGGTGATGAGTGACAAGGATCTCAAGCCAAATCGGCTCACTTGTGCACTTAAGGTTATAAAATGTTCATGAGATGCCATGAGCTAATCTTACGTAACGGTTTAACTCCTTGATTAATTGAACGACAGTGTATTAGCCCAAAGAAAGGGATACGTTTCGCAACTCAACGTAATCATTGTAGTTAAGTATAATTATACACACAGGCCTTTTCAAGGTGGTGCGTATGTCTACAGGGTGGCCTTTTTGCTCCAAAGGTTTTGTCTCTAGTCTTCTGAGCTGTAGCCTTACGGATTGTACGTAAACAAATATCGGTACCTGTCATCTTGCAGGTCTAGTCACAATGCTCAGTGGTTCAAACCAATGAAATCTGCAGACGTGTTGACACATGGACTCTCGCAAAAAATGAATTTCTTCCTAATGTTATTGATCTGAGGAAATTAGCTATGCGTGGGGTTACACGCCCAAATTTTCTCTCTCCCAAGGAGTAAAGCAGCTGCATCCGTGTTACAGCTAGAGAAAGATGCCCTTTGGTGCAGTCCATTACTCATTTACGGAAATACAAATTGCACTGTTGAATTGTTTGCCATGCTGTTTGCCTTCCACCTGCTTTCACACTTGTCATCCATCCCTTATTCATGTAGCATTTTCAAAAGCATCAAAGATTTATTAACATCATTATTTTATACCTCAGAAAGAATGCATTCATATATACATGCACGATAAATAAAATCTGAGTTGTTGCAACACCAGTACACAATCAAGTGTAACACTAGATCATAATATAACTCTGTACTGCAGGTTTTGGAGGATTTTGTGAGGGTGTTTTTTGACCAGAACCCGATTTCCCAAGTCAGTGACACCAACATTATTGTAATAGTGAATAATTATAATTGTTATTTGGGATTGAAACGAGTCATCGGGTTTTTGTATGTATGTATGCATGTACGTATGGCACTGTCGCACACCCTAATGCTTTACGTAACTCGAAATGAGTTTTTTTCGCAATTGTGTTTGCTGCCGGGTGAGCGTTTGTTTGCCAAAGAATTTGTTGCGTTTGTTCTAGTATCAATTTCATCTACTTCAGCTTGGAGTCATAAGCACAAAAGACGGAAAAGCAGAAAAGGTGCTGGATTTGAATGGTATGCATGTTTTCACTCAGTTTATCTAATATTTTGTGTTCTCCATTGTATCAAGGTAACCCCCACGTGTTGAGTAAGACCCTCTGTGGAAATTGGAGTGTGTCTGGAGAACTTTCTTTGCAGAATGCTCTTTCACTGGCAATGAATGGTTTAAAGTGAGCCGTATAGCCATTGTCTCTTTTGTGGAATACTTCTCAAGTCTATAAGCCCCCAATCAATGGTTGAGTGCCAATTGATAGTGTTGTGGGTTCAGGTCTTTTTTCTAATACAAGAGTGCTGTCCTACGTAGGTGTCTTTGATATACACTTGCCTTGTGTTTACACCCCATGATTCATCTTACTGTCACCAGTTTGTGACATTCTTTTTTCTCCTTCTGTTCTTGCACCCAAGTTCTCCTCCTTATCATTTTTATTAGCCGGTTCTCTTGTCCACACAAACTTCATATCTGCCTCTACCCTCTTGTATTGCCCATGGTAACTGTTGCACTGCATGTTTTTTTAGGCACATTCCAAGTCACGCCAGTAGAGAGGTTCTTGTGGTGATGGGCTCCCTCACTTCCTGTGACCCAGGAAACATATTTACAACCATTGAGGTAAGGTAGTAAATAACAAAGATGTTGGTTATGAATGACTAAAAGAACCTCTCTCTATCAGCGGCGATTCCACTAGTACAATTGGTTGCAAAAGCAGATGAATAGCGTGTGTTCTTTCCACAATGGCTATTTAATAGCAACCCCAATGTATATTATAGACATTATGGGGTTTACATAAATCACACAGGGGGGAATGAAAAGTCTACTGATCTGGAAAGGGTCTTGGGGTTACACTTAGACCCCATATATAAGTGAGGACCTTTTGTCATTTCTCTGGTTATACCCAAGACAAAGCAATACCACTGTGTGGAGGGGTATATACAGGCAAATGCCGGATTGAAGTAAGCTGTTATCCTGTGGGAGACCATGAGGTAATATACGTGTATTCTTAAGTGGGGCGAGGTCAAAAAGAATCGTGCTAGCATTTTCCTTTGAGGAACATTGGACTTCAACAGAGTGCCAATGATGTAATGTCTACAGTGTACATTGCCCACCCATACGTAAGTATAGAATGCTCACATCAACTCTATAAAAAAACAAAATATTATTATAGTGACCATGAATAAAGCATCATTCTTCTGATTCTTTCTTTTCGCTTGGTATGTGATATGTAGAATCAAAAGTATTTCACAAGCTATCCATGTAAGAGCTACGTACCTTGCATTCTCACAGACTCATTTGTATCCTCAACATTCCAGGGCTGTGTTTCTGAAGTGTTGTATAGGATGAAGGTTCTCCTTATGGCTAAGTGAACGATGCAGACGTCTGGCAAGCCCCTGTAATTGAGTATAATAATGAGTCTGAGAATGGAAACTCAATGCATACTCTTGTTGCGTGGTTTGCCTTGTATGTCCATATACGGTATTACTGTTGTACACTTGGGGGTGAGGTGTGGGAAGCCAATAAGACTCAGGCAGCTGCA